GATAGATAGATAGATAGATACGATAGATAGATGGAATAGATAGATAGTAGATAGATAGATAGATAGATACGATAGATAGATAGATAGATAGATAGATAGATAAATAGCATAGATAGATTAAGATAGATAGATAGATAGATAGATAGATATGATAGATAGATAGATAGATAAGATAATAGATACGATAGGATAGATAGCATAGCATAGATAGATAGATAATAGATAGATAGATAGATAGACAGATAAATATATAATATAAATAGATAGCGATATATAAGATAGATGATAGATAGATAGATAGATAATAGATAGATAAATAGATTAGATAGATAAATAAGATGATAGATAGATAGATAGATAAATAGATAAATAGATAGCATAGATAGAATAGATAGATAGATAGATAGAGATAGCATACATACAATTACATCAAATACGATACATAAACTTAAGATAGATAGATAGATGGATAGAGTTGAATTGATCGACATCGGTCGCATCGATATGATAGATAAGGCTAGCATAGATAGTAGATAGAAATAGATAGATGGATATAGATAGACAGATATATAGATAGTAGATAGGTAGATAGGTAGCATAGATAGATAGATAGCATAGACTAACGATAGATAGATAGAAGATAGATAGAACTTAGATAGATAAATACGATAGATAGATAGACCATGGCATATAGATAGACAGATAGATAGTAGGTAGATAGATAGATCAGATAGTAGAGTAAGATAGATAGATAGATTAGCATAGAATTAGATAGATAGATAGATAGCATACATACATTAAATACATACATACCATACATACATACACTCAGCATACGTACATACATACACTACCATAGCATACCCACATACACCTACATACATACACTACGTACCCATACATACATAATACACATACATACATACCATAACCAATACCATCCACCCCATACATACTACATACATAATACATACATACATAACATACATGACATACATACATACACGAATAATACATACAATGTACATAAATACGATTACAATTCACCATCATACATACCATACATTATCATCAGTACATACAGTCACATACATACATTACATATCATACATACATCACCATACATACATACATCACAACATACATACTTACTAAATACATACATACATCACCATAAATCACATACATAAACATACTACATACGGATACATACCATACATAACATACAGTACATTACAAATAATAACATATCATACACACATACATACATAAATACATAGCATACATACATACATAATAACATACATACATACATACAATAACATACTACAATACATAATACATACATACATACATACATACTACATACATACATTACATACATACGATACAATTACATACATACATACATACTACATACATACATAATAATACATACTACATTACATAATACATACATACATACAGTACATCATCATACATTACATACATTACATACATACAAACATACATATCATACCATACATACATACATACATTACATACCATACATTACATACATAACATACAGTACATACTAATACATACATTACATACATACATACATACATACAAACATTACACTACTATACATACATCAATACATACATACATACACATCACACAACACACACAACACACACACACACACCACACACACACCCACCCACACACACACACACACACACAAACACACACACACACACACACACAACACACACACACACACACCACATAATACATTACATAATAACATACATATTTTGGGGTATTTTTCTATCAACAAGTGGTCGATTCAGCCAACTGAGCGCTTCATTTTCCGGGCACGCCGGTGTCCTGCTAGTGTATATATATATATATATATATATATATATATAACCAGAAAGCTACACTAGACTCAGGGTAATTTATTATAAATCAATAGTACGTTGAATCGCAGAACAAGATGCGGCATCACTATTCCTCCCGTGCACTTGACCGCTGACCATTATTATATGTGAAAGCCACAACGAATTTCCTACATGAAAGCATTATCAGGGCATTTACATATCGCATAGGTGTTCCACTAATCAACATTCGCCATTCTCAATCTACGGCTAACTAACCCACGCATCTATTCCCAATGTCACTAGACCATAATGGCTACTCCGCCAGCAGACAACAGGTTCCGAAATCGATGGAAATTACTCCATCACGCAGTTATTGTCTCTAGCAGAGATATCCTACGTGAACACACGTTCACACGCACGCATATATATATATATATATAATTATATATATTATATATCATTAAATCGTTAAATCTGCTGCTCCTCTTATACAGAAGCAAAAGCCATCACCATGCTAAAACCTGGCCAGGATTCGAACCTATTAAGTTCGGCGAGACAATGAAAATCGCAACTGTCCCAACCCTTGTTAGTCCCACACGGGAACGATATTCGTACCACACTATTTTACGAACCAAGCGTTGTTTATGTATGACAGCTTCCATACCCGGAGAGAGATGGGAGAGCCCTTTAAACGTAGTTTAGGGACTTTTTTGCTATTTAGCTTCTTTATGAAACATAGCATGGAATTGCATTAATAACAATGGCATTGTAAAATCTCCACTTTTGATATGAGTGTAGGCAGGTGCGGTGTACAGCGCATGGTGTATACTATATCGTATTAAAAGATAGGCCTGCCTCTGTACCTTAATACCGCCTGCATGCATGTACGTCTGACTGTGAATTATTAATTTAAAGCTTCCGGTGGAAATAAGTTGATCTAATCACGCTCTTAATAATTCACGTTTACGATGTTAACATCGATGAGTAGCTTGATCTGTTGTTTACATCGCCAGCATGTACCGTGACCACCGTGCACGTATATATATATATATATATATATATATATTATATATATATATATATATATATATATATATATATATATAACCAGAAAGCTACACGAGACTCAGGGTAATTTATTATAAATCAATAGTACGTTGAATCGCAGAACAAGATGCGGCATCACTATTCCTCCCGTGCACTTGACCGCTGACCATTATTATATGTGAAAGCCACAACGAATTTCCTACATGAAAGCATTATCAGGGAATTTACATATCGCATAGGTGTTCCACTAATCAACATTCGGCATTCTCAATCTACGGCTAACTGACCCACGCATCTATTCCCAATGTCACTAGACGATAATGGCTACTCCGCCAGCAGACAACAGGTTCCGAAATCCATGGAAATTACTGTCGCAGCAGTGCATGTATACGTGTCGAAAATTACGTCGGATGCTGCTGTGCAGCTGTCGCATACGGCCGAGCCGAAGTCCCAGAGCGGCCGCCTTATTCCGTCCGTAATTGCGCTGATAGCGAGAGAGCATGCTAACGACACCGAGCCGACCGCTGAGGCAATAAATATGTGATAGACAAAACTTGGCATTTCCGCTCGGTAAAACCTAATGCGTTGCTGTCACCACTGCGGTAGCATTGCGATATGCAACGCGAAAACATTGCCGCGTGGTTTTACACCACAGTGGAAAACAATAATAAAACATAATAAAAAAATTTGTTCGCAATACCCTCAGGCTGACGACTCGCCGAGGAGTTCCGATACACTAGCGCGCGAGAATCTCGTAACTATTAGCAACATCAGCAGTAATCGCCGTTGTTGGTGATCGCGTCCGCTCATCGACCATGTACTGCGTTTCAATGTTGTTGTTTTTCGTCTGCGCCTGCTGCACTCGCGCGGTTCTCGTTCGACCGACTGTCGCGCCGCCCCTCAGGCGTTCCTATGTTTCTTCCCGCTATCACTGTTACATTCAACGAAGACGCTAATAGGCTATGGCGATGGAAACTGCGGCGTTATCCTGCCCGTAATGGCCCGACGAGTTTTAAAATTAACAGAAACATTATTAGATTAGAAAATTAAATTACCGGCATCGGTGATAGCGACGACGATGACGACGATGACGATGACGACAACGAAGACGACGGCGGCGGCGATGATGACGATGATAACAACAGCCATTATGACTACCTTCAACCCCGACAGAACGTAATTATTGTCAACACTAATTATTCCTAAAGACGGTTTAATGATGCTTTATGCATTGTTCCCCCTCAACTCTAGCCTTTACCGGCCTGAGCGAAACCCAATAGAGCTTTAAGAAGTAATTTCTACTAAATAATTGCTCAAAGTGCACGCGTGTCTGCATTACCATACACACTCTAGTGAGTACATTGCGTGAGCGCGCAACTGCGTTAATTAGATCGTAAAACTAATCTAAATAATTTGCATGACAACAATCGACCGTTCCCCCTATGAGCAATTATTAATCGGTGTAGCAAATAACCAGGCTGCGCCTTGTCTGGCGTGCCGAGGAACCGACGCATCAGTGTGGGCGTCGGGGGCAATTGGTTGTTTCCTCGGCTTTAAATGCGATTACAAACTTTATAATTCATCTCGGCGATATACGCAATTTTTGCATTTGAAGTAAAATTTGTTCGCAGTTCGATTGTGTTATATTATAAAACTTTAATGAAACGTTCATTATTTATGCATCATGAGCCATGAGGTCGGTGTGTATCCCGCACAAAAGATGTTTTAATTATAGTTAGTTTGATAAATACCAGTGCATCAATGCTAAATGAACAAATATTTTGCTGGCGATGTTAAGAAATAAAGCGCTGTACGCGTTACACGCGTCATTAATGACCGCATCGTTTTTTTTCGCCAAAATGTCGAAAAAAATGCGTTTGGATCGATTGGATCCTAATTTGCGACTATCGATTTGTATACACAAGAGCCCAACAATCAGTCACTATTACGATCTTGTTGATGGGATCTTAATGTGTAACGATTACATGCGTAGTTATGTAAGTTGCTTATTGAGAACGTTATTGCTTATTATATACGCATATCTGGACCAGATATCAAATATCAGTACTATGTTTATCACGGCAGGTTGTCCACCAATCAAACCCTTCAGCTGCCCTGGAAATTCGGAGGTCTGCCTCCCACTGCAATACATTTGCGATGGGTCGCCCGATTGTCCCGACGGCTACGATGAAGGCATCAAGTTGTGTACCGCCGGTAAGTTAGCAAATGTTAATAGAGCTGCTTTAATCTTCTGTTCCAAGGCTGCGCAGTAATGTTAATAGAGCTGCTTTAATCTTCTGCTCCAAGGCTGCGCATTAATGAATCACTGTTTTATCATTCCCAAAACTTTAAGATCATCAATGCCCGTATGCTCATTACTATTATAATGTTGTTCATTTATTACTTGTAAAAGTGACAATGCACTTTTAGCTATAACTCAGTTCCTACTACTGTGATATGCATACAGTCAGCATTTCATGGATCGATGGTGATCTTGATTAATCCACTATGCTCGCACTTCTACAAGATCGTTCTGAAAAATTGAAAATAGTAGTAGCATATAATCGAAATTTTCACGTTCCAAATATATATATATATACATCTAATAAATATTTGTGAATGTGTGTCTGTTTGTCTGTTCTCGATGCAAATCAATACGGATCACTCTAGAAATCTCAAAGATATTCAGTAAGGGAAAATTTTGGTGCTGAATGTCATGGGCAAATTGGATTTGACCTCCGAAGTTATCTAAGCCAAAAAACGAGAATAAACAGCAGCGTTAAACAAGCGCGCCCCTGCCGCAACAGGATTCAAGTCAAAACAGTCCAAACAGGATTCAGCTGACACTAAACTAAAGATACTGACACTGTAACTAAAGATACAGTAGATAAATAAATAAGTAGGTACATAGATAGTTAGATAGATAGATAGATAGATAGATAGATAGATAGATAGATAGATA